TCATTCATTTAATGTTTATCAGATGCCTTCTCCTGCGGCTGCATCCTGCCAGGCTAGCAGGGCTTGAAGATTGATGCTCATTTCCTAAATGAGCAGACTGAGGTCTGGGCAGTTGTTAGGTGGTTGGTCCCACATTTCAGGGCTAGTGAGGGCAGAGCCAGGACAAGACCAGAGAGCTTTCAGATCCCTGCACTCTCCTCTGCCCCACCCCCTTTCTCACCCTCCTGTTCTCAGCCAGCCACTGAAACCGCCATCCCTTTAGTCACCAGCTCTGCACCTTCTGCTCTGCAGCGACTGACGTGCCAGGATGACACTGATGTTATTAGATTACTTGCACATGAGTCTGCGTTATGACAAGCCATGAAAAGAATGTCAGACATGAGAGGGAAAAAGACAGCAAACCTGAATGTCACAGGCAAAGTACCTGCGAGCTGGTGCCTGCAGTGCAGCCAGCCTGGCATGAAGGGAGCACTCAGTGACTTCTGGATGGTGGTGCTGTTTCTATCACTGTTATTACTGTGATGGATGCTCTCTGTATCTCCACTTAACACATAGATTGGCCCCCACTCTCCTTTCCCCCTGTAGAGTGAGCTGACTGAAGGCCACAGCACACTGATTACTCGCAAGTAAGGGGTCACTCTGGAATATCCCGGCCCTTCTGCTCCACCAGGCGAGTGGCCTGCTTCCTATCTCCTGTCCTGAGAGTGTGAGCTGATCCTGTTCATTTAAAACATGAATTGTTACATTAACTGGGGAAAAATGAGGTGGATAAGCATGAAATTTTTTTTCCATGAAAACTGTTAAGTACTTCGGGACAATTTTAAAAAGGAGTCGCTGAAAATGTTGGCTGTTGAGGTTGAGGAGCATGAGACAACAATGAAAGATTTGGGGGAATAAAACTCTGGGAGGACTCTGCACTTAGACCGCTTGGCAAGTGACTTAGTTTTCATTCCACTTGGAAAAACAAAACAAAACTAGAGATTGTAGGCAAAGCATTCAAGGTGTAATCGATACTGCCCTGGCTGGTGGTGTTCAGCGGTTAGAGTGTCGGCCCGTGCACTGGGCGTTCACGTGTTTGATTCCCGGTCAAGGGCATGTACCTGGGTTGTAGGTTCAATCCCCGGCCCCCGTTGGGCAGGTGCAGGAGGCAACCAGTTAACACATTGATGTTTCTCTCTCTTCCCTCCTCTCCTCTCTCTCTTCTCTCTCGCTCCCCTTCCCCCCTCCCTTCCACTCTCTCTAAAAAGCAATGGAAAAAATATCCTCTGCTGAGGATTAACAACAACAAAACAAAAGTACGATCGATACAGTCAGTAGACCTTTTTTCAAAGGGACGGCCCTTAGTTCTACATCAGAAACTTGGTGTTGAAAGTTTTACAGCAAGTGGTAAGTGGCTTGACCACCAGGGAAACACATCACGGGATCCGTACTTTAAGGGCAGAGCAGCTAGCCTCTGCAACTCAGTGTTTTACTGAATTGTTCTTTATCAATAGAGCAAATTAGATTGGCAAAAACACTCCTGCAGTATTGAAACATGTCCAAGTTATAAGATGTTACCTTCAAAAAGAGTGATGCTAACTTAAAGCATCGATGGGGGGAAGCCCAGAGCAAGACTCAAAAGAGCTGCCTGCCACTCAGGACAGGCTACATAACTTCCAGAGCCCAGTGAAAAATGAAAATATGAGGCCCCTGTGCAAGAATTAATAAGAATTTCAAGATGATGACAGCAGAGTATTGAACCAACTGTGGGGCCTGTCTGAGTACAGGGCCCCATGTGTCTGTACAGGTCACACGCCCATGAAGATGGCTCTGCCGCCACTTATTGTTACTAGCAGATCAGAGCTTTTAAAATTAGTCTAGCCTGTAGCAGTTTACTACCCTCATAAAAGTCAGCAGGGATGGAATGGACTTGGACTTGCTCAAAGGTGGTTTTGTCATTAATTTTACCTTTGATAAAGAAACACGTAAAGAATAAAATTGAGAAGATCCTATCTTATTTTTTTTTTTTTAAATACCTTTATTGATTTCAGAGAGAGGAAAGGAGAGGGAGAGACAGAAACATTAATGATGAGAGAGTCATTGATCGAGCCCACAACCGGGCATGTGCCCTGACTGGGAACCGAACCCCGATCACCTGGCTCCTAGGTTGACGCTCAACCGCTGAGCCACGCCTGGCCGGGCGAGAAGCTCCTATCTTTTTACGTAACTTTTCTTTACATCCTAATCATTAGGAATTTGGAGGTCTTGTTTTTGGTGCCCCCCCCAAAGAATTATGTTCTTGATCCAATATATGAATCAAAGGATTCTGAAATGTTTAAAATAGATCTCTTAGGCAAAAGATTGAGTTCCATTTGGAAAAAAGTAGAAAACAAGAATACAGATCCCATAGGATGTATCAAAGATATTGTTTGCCATGAGGCAATGCTGGAATGACATGAAATTGTTAAGGTAAAAAAGTAACACAGATTCTTGATGTCAAGACGATGGTAAAAGCATGGGTTTTTACCTGAGCTCAGGCAAACTGAACATTCTGACAAGAAAGGAGGTCAACAGCAGTGGATTCGTGATGTTGACCTGCTGAAAAGTAAAATTTTAAATGCCGGAGAAATCACATGTAGCATGACACAGACAGATAAATCTCAGTAGGAAGAGGAAGTAGTGAGATCAAGTTAAAGAACGCACGTCAGTCACACGGTGGCTAGGGTGGCCCCTGCAATTTTACACTAGGTTGGAGAACCACAGAACCAGCAGTCAGTGACGTTGTAATCGTTAAAATCTAGAGGGACTATGCTGAGAAAAATCATACGTCTAAGCAACTGAAAATTACTGGTTTTATTACAGAAACATGGGATATTTTAAATGAAGATAGAATGATTATGGTATATGCCTATTTTTTGGTTTCTCACTTTGACGTTTTCTGTTAACCAACTAGTGACTCATTCAGCTGCTGCCACAGTAGGAGCCCTGGTCAGGGGTTGTTGAGTTACTTGAAAAGTCATTTATAAGTTCTTATCCTAAACATCTTTTTAAACTTAAAACATATAACACATTAGTATAGGGCCATACGTATTGGCTAATTATCGTTTCCTGAGCCGTTGTTTACAGTAACAATGCCAGCTTAGCTCCCAGTTTCTATTTCTTTAGTGTGGAAAGAGAAGTTATAGACATTTGCAAAACAAATTTGAGTGCAAAGTCTTCCTGGACTTTTAATGGTTTTGTTTGTTTGTTTGTTTTCTTTTTTCAACAGTTACCTTGCCCACACACCACACCAGGTCAGCAGTTAGCTCATGGATTCTTTTGTTTTGTGTTTAACGACTCGCTTTTCATTGGATTTCCTCATGAGTTCAACTAGTAAAAACATACTTGAGAACTAACTTGGTAACTGGTGGAAGCGGAAAGGCATAGACATACTAGAGAGCAGAGCCCTAGCTTAGAGTTCATTGTATGTTATGAGCACCTGTCAGTATGTTTGAGAGGGAGTGGAGAGTGTGGGTCAGTCTGGCTGGTTGGTAGGTAGAAATACTAGCTGGTCTCCCCCATGTTGCTTGGGGGTTTTTTTTAGGCAAATAAATCCACCCACTACCCACCTTAGAATATACCCCCAAAGAACTGTCTAAGGGAGAAATAGCATGAGTCACAAATCTTCCCATGTGACTTTCGATTTGTGGCTCACATTTGGAGTCCCTGCATTTTCATGGGCCGCTGTGCCTCAGTCCTGGCTTCTCCGCAGCTACTCTGTGGGTGATGGGAAGGCTCCCCAAAGGAATATCCTGTATGCTGTTGGTATTTTAGACCTTCCAAAACATGCTTTCCAAATTTGGAGGGGATCTCTTCATGTGTTGTGGGGACAGAACCAATTTTATTTGTGTAAATTATTATTAAGCTTTGTCACATAGAGAAGAAAAAAGATGAGGGCATTCATAGTGAGGAACCACTTTGATGCTCACCTCCCCTGGGCAGACAAAGGTTCTGTTTGTGATTCAGCGTGTTGGGGGACACTTCTGTATCTCTTGGTTTGTGGCATTATTTTCAGTTTTCACCAGAGACATTTCTATAGCATCAGTCTTTTAAAACAGAATATTAATAAAGGGTAGCAGGTTTCCTAGTATTTGTTGAACCTATTTGTTTTCCAAAAGGTCCATTCATTAAAGACTGGCTAAATCTAGTTACCCAGGAAGAAGTGATGATAGAGCCCCCTAGGGACAGAACACTCCTCGGCGTTCAGAAGGAAAGAGTGACTTATAGGATTGATTCCCCCCCCTCCCCCATTTTAGTCTTCTGAATCTTTTTTTCTTTTTTCCAGGAGTTAAAAAAAAAAGAAAATGTTAAGGAAATTGATAAATTAACCTCTGCTAAATACTGAGCCCAGGTGGCTCCGTGGCCCTCCAGGGCTGAGCTGTTAGGGACCTCCAGGGAAGGAGGGAGGCGTCCAGGCACCCAGGGTGACAGAGGCCTCAGATGTGAGATTGGTCAGAGAGGAGGCTGGGCTGAGGTGGGCTCAGGGGCCTACCAGGTAACAGCCTTCCCTCCAGCCTTCACTTCCCTTGGCGATATGTTGGACCATAGCCGGGCCATTGGTTGGTTGCTGCACATGGATCACACGTGGGCACATGCACCCGGCTGTAGCATTTGAATCTTGTCTGTGATTTTACAGTCCCCGTGTGCTCCTGCTTGTACTCCCAGAGTCCCATGTGGCAAGAGGCAAAACGTGAGCAGGGGCCATGGCCTGCCTTACCTTTCCTTGTCTTCGCCGGTCTCTTCTCTCTTCTCTCTCGTCTTCTGTCTCTCTCCCTTCTTCCTGGGCCTCAGCAGGCCTGGTAAGAGAGCGCATAAAGGAACTCCTGGGTGTGCCCCAAGCATTTAGGAGACCTGAGGCTGAGGGGTGACGAGGGGCCGCCATCGCCCCTCCGTTCATTGGGAAACTTCCCTCTCACAAGACCCCGCTCTCCCCACGAATGGATGACTCACCCTCTGCGTGTTCTCTCTTCCTCTCCCTGTAGGGAATGTGACTGGAAACAGTAACTCCACGTTTATTTCCAGCGGGCAGGTGATGAATTTCAAGGGCGACATCATCGTGGTCTACGTCAGTCAGAACTCCCAGGAGGGCCCAGCGGGGCCCGGCGGTGGCGCTGCGGAGCCGGTGGGCCACCCGGTGCAGGAGGAGAGCCCGCCCTGCTGCGACTCCTTCGCGGGCCTGGGGCCG